CCGAAATTAATTCCCAATTCCCCCTCTAACTTTTGTATATACAAACAACAAGCTATCGCAATATGCAGAATATACGGAGTACTACTTCAATTAGCTTTTTGGATTCACAGGAATGGCCTATCACAATTACGGATGTGTTTCTGTTAAACCTTCTTCACATCACAACATCTTAATCTTGAACCAATGATTGCCAACATATGTACAAAGTCGGAATAGTCTTAAAGCAAATCTACAGAGCAGTATCTCACTACATACATAGTGAACCCTATATCCTTGTCTTGTCTCCTCCCTTCCCCTCTTCCAGTCCAAGCCCACTCACATCAGCACTCGTTTTGACTCCCCTCACCATCTCCGCCATGACTTTCCCAGTCCCCAACGACATCGAAATACCCCATGGACCATGACCCGTCGCCATAAACACACCCCCAGAAGGTCGGATCTCGCGCCCCAAAGCCCAATTCCCAACTTGCGCAACAATTGGACGCCCACTCTCCGTCCATGGTCGGAAACACAGAGATTCCCGAATGATTTCCAAATCGTCAATATTCCCATCCCCTTCCTTGTCTCTGCTCTTCACGTCTGGATCACACCGTCCCATCAGCGTCACTGCAGCTTTCCTCACTCGATCCATTTTATCCTTCTCCATCATGCCATGAGCATCGCTCGCAAGTTCCGGGAGGGGAGTCTCAGAGCTATTTAGGCCGGCTAGGTATATCTCTGCTCCTGCACGCGAGAAGGCTTCGGGGCTAAACCCGCAGGAACGGGGGTGAGTAGTGAATACTGCATGCCCAGATCCGTTGTATGTGTCTCTTTCATGCGATAATGTTAAACGTGAAGAGCGTAGGAGGATGGAATAGCCGGACAAAGAAGTAACAGGGATTCGAGTAGTGGAAGTCGGGAACAGGGTTTTGAAAGCGCGTGGTGTCCATGCACCAGCAGCAAAAATGAGATTTGTACATGGAATTGTCCATTGGACATTTGTGGTCTGATTTTGAAGCTTTACTCCTGTAAGAGAACCGGAGGCATGGTCCTTGACGAGGGAGATTGCCCGAGCGGGGTTGTGCACATGCACTCCGCGCTCAATGCATTTTGTCAGAAGGAATTGACACAGACGTAGGGGGTCACTAGATGGTATTCACGTATATTAACAACGCACAACTCAATCTCCAACAAGCTTTCAAAAGAAGAAAGAAAATCTTACACTTGCGCCGCCCCTCTCTCATCACTAATTCTCTCCACAACCCCGCCCCTCTGCCTCGTCAACCAACACGGCGACGCATCCGGCTCCCCTTCCCTTTTCTGATCCGCTCTCACTGCAACCTCTGCCCGACTAGCTCCCTGCCGCAGCCAATCATGCCCACTGGCCGATATCTGTCCATCATCATATTGTAACTGAAGCCCGACAGCAGTACTACGAATATATCCCCATTTCTCATACCCGCCGTGCTCGCGTGCAAGCTGCTTATGCAGCTCGAAGGAGAGTGCGCCGAGAGCTGCAAGTTCGGGAGAGAACCAATCCCGGGCAATGAAACCGGCAGCGTAACCCGATGCGCAGTCGAAGAGTTGGGTGCACGGGTCAATTATATGGATTTGTTGGCCCTTTGTAGATTCGGAAAGGTAGAAGGCGGTGGAGATGCCAATGATTCCGCCGCCTATTATTACAGTTGACATCGTTCGGGTGTCTGTAAAACTTTTCGGGGTTCAAAGGGTCGAGTAAACGGAACCGCTAATCGTTGGGTGTAAGTATATATGTAAACTAGCCCAAAATTAAACTCCCGCCTCTTAACTATTCTCCATCTCCTAAATATGCTGCTGGTTTTCTCGCTGCCCTCCTTATTTTTCTCACTACTATTCCTACTGCTATTCGCCCTGGTATTCCTGCTCACAGGGATTTTCTTGTTGTTCCCCTCAGGGCCACCATGACCTATAACTAAGGGTGAATTTGTGACTTCAGAATGTATCATACAGATCGGCCGTATTGTTTCAGAGTTGGCCATCCAATCCTCTGCAGAGTGAGCATGGCAAAATTGGAAGATTCGGTGGATCTGCGCGGCATCGGGATAACCCGAGTCTTGAACCCTTTGGGAGGGCCGTATCTTATCTTAACCCCGCCACGAAACCATCATTCCGACAACAACAGCATTGCTTGGATGCCTCAGACCCCAGTGTCGTATAGAATTAACGTCTATATATATGATATTAGGCATGTAATTAAGCAATCTCATCTTTCAGCCCCGCAGTACAAACACATTTTCATTGATCCCGAATCGGAATTTCCTCTGACCGCCTCTCCACACAATTGAAGGTAATAGAGAACGCCATCGCTTTGCAGGGCGTTGGAATAGCTTTCAATTAACGTTCTCTTCTGTTTGTAAACACCTTGGACGTGGAATTTAGAAAGCAGGTCAATCCCTAAAGGGTGTTGCCCTTTCTTTCTTTCTTTCTTCCTTTTTTTTTTTTTTTTTTAACCCTCGTAACCTCAAGTGTTTTTACATGTACTAGTTGGGGAATTTGGTTCACACATAATTAAACCGTAACAAATATTATCTCCACCACACATATTAGTTTCTAACTCTAATTTGCATAGGTTCATTCAATCCATTCAATAAAAGTAAAAAAAGAAAAAAAATTGCTACAAAAAAGGATATTTCAAATTCTAAATACACATATCTCCAAAATCCCAAAGTCACATTAAAAGGAAAGCACCGGCATAACTCCGGATAGCATATAATGAAAAAAAAAAAATGTCAGCCAAAACCATAATCGTCACAGGCGCTTCAAGGGGAATTGGCCTTGCCATAGCACACTACCTCCTCCAGTGCCCGGTTTCTCACAACCTAATCCTCCTCGCACGTTCGCAGGCGCCACTTCAACAACTACAAGAGCAATACGGGGCTAACCGCGTCGAAGTCCTCACGGGGGACTTCGCGGCCGGTTCTTCACCATCGCTGGCCGAAAGAGCAGTGGATGTGGCGCTGAAGAGGTTTGGAAAACTGGATGGGTTGGTTGTTAATCATGGGACGTTGGGACCTGTGACGAGGTTGGAGGATTGTGATTTGGACGACTGGAGGAAAGGGGTGGAGGTCAATTATATTAGTGTGGTTGGGATTGTGAGTCTTTCTCACTTTTCCTTTGAAATTTCTTGCCGTTTGGTTTGGTGTGCGGTTTACGATCGAAAGGAAAAAAGGATGCGTAGATCTGGGAGAGAGGGAGAAGACATTCTGTTATATTTGCTAACCTCAACTATCTCTAGGTAAAAGCAGCAATCCCGCATCTACGAAAATCCCTTGGAAAAATTATCTTCACCTCTTCCGGGGCTGCGACCTCAGCAACAACTGGATGGGGACTCTACGGCTCCACCAAAGCAGCTATGAACCATCTCAATATGACAGTGGCACAGGAGGAACCAGATATCACGTCCATCTCAATCCGGCCAGGGATGGTCGATACAGAGATGCAAGAAGAGCTACGAGCGAAACATATAGACGTTCTAGGGCCCGTGCAAGGGAAAAGGTTCGTCGATGTTTACAAGGAGGGCAAGTTGCTCAAGCCAGAGCAGCCAGGTCATGTTATTGCCAAGCTTGTGCTTGATGCCCCGCATACGTTGAGTGGGAAATTCTTAACGTGAGTGTACCTTGCTATCGCCAGTCCTCAAGTCTCAAGCATAATGCTGACTCGAGAACAGGTGGAATGTTCCTGAATTGGCTGCCTTCCAAGACTAACTGATCGATCGATCTGTGGCATTGGATATCTAAAACTAATTTAGCATACCAAGTCAGCAAGACTCGAATCGCAGGACAATAAAAGCAAGAATATAGTTGACAAAGAAAAAATAAATCAAAAGACATCATTCGAAAGATGAAAATGGACACATGTATTAAGCATTAGATATCAGAGACACCTTTATATTTAGCATGGAGTGTATGTTTTAATCATTTGTCTCCAATTTAAGATGAGGTGGGTACCGAGTGGGGAGAAGAAGGAATTTAAGAAATCAATATGCAACCTACCTACAAACGATCAAAATATGTTTCCACATGCTTCTCGCTTGTGTCATCTGTCCTAGAGCCAATTGTATTCAACTATTAGTAAAACCCCCTTCGGTTTTCCATTCAAAACATCATCTCCAATAATGAACACAGGTGGGCGGTGAGGTTGTGTCAGAACGTAATCGCAGCTCTTCATTGAACATCGGCATTTGATAGTACACGAAATGATGCTCATCACAATAAATTCCCATAAATTAAAACACGAAAAACATTTTGTTTTGTAAACGCATACAATCATCAGCGGATCAATTGACCATGTAGAAAATTGTTGCAGCCTCAATGACTGGACCAGAGGCACACGGGGCACATTGTGCTGCAAAATGGCAAGCCTAGATGTATCTGAATATTTGTATATTAGTAGTGGTTTCCTAACGAAAACAGGAGGGGAAACATGTGCAAATGACAGTGGTAGAATCCTCGCGTAGAAGGGAGACTAGGATCAGAAGTCCGTTTGGCTTGGACAGGTAAATCACCACGGGAGTTTGTGCTCGATGGTATGATAGGGGCGACAACAAAGTTCATCATGGTAGTTGAAAAGCAAGGAATGGAAAAAATAATTGTCAGAACATACCATTGTCAGTAGGTGCATTAAGCAGGAGGCATTATATGAATTTCTTCAAGTTCAGCCATTCGGTGTCGTGGGAAATGCAAAGAATGAAGAAAAGAGAAAAAGATTTTGTGTACGAAGAAGTTTCCAAAAACAGAAATTTATGAGATGACTGCAGCTTAGTCATCACAAAAAGCGGTGAGTTTGAAGTTGGCACGTGACAAGGCAGAATATTTGCGACAATCATCGATTAAAATAAACGAACCTCGAGTCGCGCCCTGCATAATCGGTACATATTTGCACCAACTCGACCTCGGTTCTCGCCAACAACGACTGCTTTTCTTGGTAGTGTACTTAATCAGTGACCTGAACTGATTGTCAGCTTTCATTTCTACATCTTAAATATGTCAGACCGAGAGTTTGGAGGTATTTCTCTACTTAGCGCCTCGTCTACCCTGATCTCTCGAAACTAACATTGACTGGTACAGGCAACGATGATCTCTCCCTCCCGAAAGGTACCTTGAACCCAAAAAAGATTGAGCTCCTGTCTCGATATTGCCCTGTGCAAGCTATTTTACGCTCTTCCATTTCCTTACACTATTATTTCAGCCACTTTGCATACAACCATTAAACTAACAGCCCTCTTAGCCACTGTCCAAAAAATAATTACAGAGATCTTACCCCCTTCGTCGGGTCAGACTTTCGCAAAGGATGCGCGAGACCTACTCATCGAATGCTGCGTTGAATTTATCACGCTAATATCCTCGGAGGCAAACGATATCAGCGAGAAAGAAGCAAAGAAGACAATCGCATGCGAGCATATTGAGAAGGCTTTGACGGATTTGGGTTTTGGAGAGTATGTACCCGACGTGCTGGCAGTAGCGGAGGAACATAAGGAGCAGTTAAAGGCGAGTTACTTCTTTTCTTAAAAATAAAAGAATTCATTCCTAAGGCGATGCAGGGAATGAGATATCCTATCTTGCGTCCTTTTCTTCAAATTAAGTATACTGACTGACGTCAACTACAGACCCGTGAGAAAAAGGTTAATAAGATGGAACAGAGTGGTTTAACTGAGGAAGAGTTGCTTCAGCAGCAGCAAGAGCTCTTCCGCTGTGCGGGGGAGAAATATAACGCTGGAAGCTGAAGTCGATGGGCAAACAGGGTTCTCGACTCCGTTGCTATCTTCTTAGGTATGTAGTATGTCCCTATCTCCTTTCCACTTTATCTCTCCTCATTTTTATGCCCAAAGCTAAGCTTCCTTCCCAGCACCAATATATTTAAATATATTTAACTAACTTACTTCCCGGACGTTATCAACAAATCACGATATAGGCGATGTGATTGGCCCTCCCCCTTCCTTTCCTCCTTGAAACAACACAGACTCCTGCTGGAGTAAATAGCTGTCGCCTCATCGCGACAACAATGCCCATTTAGGCGCTTTATTATTTTTTTTATCATTTATTTATTTATTTATTTATTTTTTTTTTATCGTCCAACGACTGGGTTTAAATGAAATTGATGAGCACGTGATGAAGATCCGGGGGAAATTATTAGATGGGCGCAAAGGAGCACGGAACTGGCTTTTTCGTTTTCTTTCTTTTGCGGGATGCTTACAGGCGTTTGGTATTCGAAGTGTATATAGTAATGTGTGTACATGAGTTCCTTCCACTGGCGTTCCGGTTGTTGCGGACCCTTTTGCTTTCTATTTCAACTGGCTGCATGATGATTGATGATGGCATAGTATATTTTACTTCTTATGTGTTTTTTCAATTCTCAACTTTAATTTCTGCAATGGAACTGCGGACGTTCATAATACCGTTCTTATTTCCACTTTGTCCGTGGGCAAACCGCCTAGCTAAATGAGTAACCTCACTTGTCTAGACGTAGCGGAAACAACATAAAAAGTGTTTGGCCAATAAGCATAGATCACTCCATGGGTATGGAGCTAGCCACCAGAAGTTGTGCAAATGATGGAAGTGAAGAAGAAATTAAGAACCAAAAAGGAATAAAAAAAAGATCATAGTTGATTGGCGCCTGCGAACCCCAAAGCCGTTCCCATTCCGTGACCAATTTCCGAAATCATCTTTTCATACATTAAAAAGCCCCGGTCAAACCAGAAAAGAACTAAAAAACAGAATACATCACGGATCTGAACCAAACCCCTGGACCCAATTACAGAACTACATTTTCACAAAGCACAATCGTGAATTCCCCCCGGTCCCGCCTCATTATACTCCACCCGGCTCAAAAACCCTTTGCTAAGCCCCTGATCAATAACAAACACCACTTTCGCCGCAACTTGCGCGCCTAGAAACGTCGCCTCTTCCATACCGACATTTTGTCCGCTCGTCGATGCCGCTGTCCCGGGAAGTAACGAGACCCCATTTGCCAAAACAGCTCCCGATGATCCCGCCGCGCCTGCACCACTGGCAGCAGCAACTCCACCGCTACCACCCGCGGTGCTACCCCCTTGATTCTTCCATTCCGGAAAGTATTCTGGAGGCTTGAGGAGGTGGATGGAGGTAGGTGTTTGCGAGTGGCCAGTTGAGCGGTGGTGGTGGGCTACTGCGGCGGCGTTGTTATTGGGATCGTTGGAGTTGAGGTGGTTGGGGGTTGCAGGGTTGTTGGCGTGGGTGGCAGCGACGAGGAGTGGGTTTACGCCATGGGCAGCTGGGTGGTGGAGGAGGCCTGGATTCTGGACATGGGCGGGGGTGTTTGTGCCGCCCGTGGGGAGGGGTGTGGACATTTGGGAGGGCAGTTCGGAGGTGAATATTGTGCCTGAGGAGGGAGAGAGGACGTATTTCTGGGTTATAGTGGCAAGAAGGGCTTGGGGAAATCCTGATTTCGTATATGGGGTAAGTAAACGCTTGGTAGTTGTTGTGGAGAGAAGATAGAAAAAGACCGGACTAACCTTTCACCATGCTGCCATTTCCTAGAATGATGAAGGAGTCCCATAGCTCGCTACGCTTGGGCGCATCGGGGACGGAAAGAATGGTGTGGTGGATTTGGGCAGCAAGTGTATCCAAGATACCATAACTACCCAAGTCCTTGGATTTCGTCTCACTGGGTGTTAAGGCTAGGAACCTTTCAATGCCAACCTCAACATCGCGTTTCTGTCGAATATACTGGGTTGTGGTGTTTTGCGTGTACCCATCCTTGGGCTCAATTCGAACAAACTCATGATACTGGAATGTTGCCTTCTCTTTCTTGTAGTTGGGCAGCCGGACTGGTTTTCCCGTTGCATCAGTTGCCCCTTTCTTAGCGGCTGCCCGTTCTGCCTTTTCTCTCTCTCTCCTGGCAAGGAACTCGCTTGTGTTACCGCTGCTGACGATAGCCGCAACGTCGAGAATGCCCTCATCCTCTTCCACGTCCCCTGTTCCATTAGTTGTTTCTCCCCCCTTGCCTGAAATGCCGATGCCAGGCTTCGCCAACTCCTTATTAGCCCCCGCTACTGTGCTAGACGTATCTGACAAATTTGGTATTTGCGAGGTAGTCTCCGAACTTCCCGGAAGAGGTACATTCGCAGGTAGAACTTCACAGATACTGCTTTTCTTCAGCTGCTCACACATATCACGTGTGAAACCCTTGGGGCCCAATAATTCCTCCAGCCGGTCCGTGATCGCTTCACCACCACAGTTGGGCAATGCCAGTCCTCTGCCATGCTCATTGACAGCAAAATCAGTCACTGCAGTGACGTCTGCCTTGCCATGACCAATGTCGATAACGGTGGCATTCGCAGTACCGTACGCATAGCAGACAGCCAAAGCAGAATCCATCAGACAGAACGCTGGAGTCTGAAATTTCTCAAAAACAAACTGGGTGATTACCTCGCGGTCGCGTGCGGTCCACACTGGCTGTGCAATAAACATGATGGGGGTATGGAAAGGTGGGCTGAGGGTTTTGAAGATGTGGGACAGGAGAGCAAAGAAGCAAGGCCAATCGACTATTTCGCCGTTTCGTATAGGATACACGGCACCTTCGTCTGATGTTGGATCCTCCTCGTATGTCACTTCTTCCTCCTCTGGCTGCCCAGACGGCGCAGCGGTTTCCTCCTGATCATTTTCAGTGTTTGGTTGGGCTCCGTCTGCTTTTCCATCTTCTGTTTCGCCTCCTGCAGTTGCGCCTTCAGCGGTGTCTTCTGCCTCGGTAGCGTCTTTCATTTCAGTATCCTGTTTAGATCCAGCGTTCTGATTCGTTGGCGCATTATTTGTCGCAGTGGACCCGTCAGCTGTGGTACCGGAGATTGGCGCAGTCATACTTTTTGTAACAATCTTCTCGCGGACTTTGAACGGCTCCCATTCGCCCTTCTTCTCAGCGGGGAACATGCGAGTTGGGAAGCGGAACTTTGCAGGCGTGAAGGATTCAGGTAGACCTAATTGCGCCAGGGTGGTTTGCGAGCCTGGCGCAATGATCTGAATAGTGGAAAGTTATGGTATCAGCTGGAGCTCACTAAAGAACGTTTTCGCAAGGAGGCAGTGTGGGCAGGTTAGGATAGACGTAGTACATACCAGGATGTGTTCATCTTTGAATGCCGGCATGGTGGGCTGGCTGTGCTGGGAGTTGGTTCAAGCAGGTTGAGCTTGCGATGTGCTCGGTGTGTTAGGTTGCGTGTTTTTGACGCGGACAAAAGAGAAATCTGCCGCGATCCTAGGGTGGCCGAGAAGGGTTTAGCGCGGTAGACATACAGGACAACTTCCACTGCAGAGCACAGAATAGACACCGCAAAATAAATAAAAGTATGAGAAAATACAATGAATTAACTCAAGAACAAAATATTGTGATAGTTATGCTATCTGTTACTGCATATAGATATGTACATACTTACCTTTTACGGTATCAGCTTAGTTTCTCAAACAATTGGTCAGAATCATCAAGAGACCTCCATCCTCCTTGTCCAAAAAGAATAAAAATAAAAATAAACCCTTCAATAATGAATGAGCAGAAATTGACAGGCATACTCTGTAAGCTTCTATATATTATATACATCAGTGTGAAATTGAAAACTAATACGACATCGATTAGATACTGTACATAAATGCAGAGTATGTACATACATTACAAATGCGGGGTTGTCATTTCATAATGTGAACTGCGCATGCAAGCCCTACCTCGCGGCAGGGGCGTTAGGCTTGAAAAAGGAACGCTGAATAGAAATAAGAAAATTCCAAGTAGAACACACAGGTTGTGGGGGGGCTAAGGGTTCATTATCACATTATCCGGGAACGAATTGGCGATAAAAGATAGAATCAAAAAGGCAATTTGCTGATGAGATTGTGTTAAATCTATAAACTTGCGGAGGCTTACTTGTTACCTTACAGATAAACCGCAAGGAATCCAGGTATGAGAGCAGTGCACGCAATGAGCGCTGTGTGCCAATTCAAGACGCCACTGCGCTGAGTGGCTACGGAACTCGAACTCCTGGGTGGGACAGCAACCAAATCGTTGCCCGTGCCTGGAGTTCCGCTGCCGTCGTTGCCTCCACTGCCACTACCATTGCTACCGCTAGTTGGCTCTGGTGGATTTGTCGCGCTTGCTGGGGGATCATACGTTGCTGTGGCGGTGTAGGCACGGAAAGAAGACGAGGCATCCGCAGAGTCGGATCCATAGAAAGAAATGACACTTGTTGTGGTGGTCGTCGTGGTTCTTCGAACTGTGATTGAGGTGTAGAATATGACTCGGTATGTCCTGTCAGGGGTTAGCGGTCTATTGAGATTTTGCCTTCTGCGTCTTCAATGCAGATGCAGACCTGCGGATGAGAACGGCAGTTGCAGGTAAAAAGAGAAGGGCACCTACCAGGTTACCGTCCAAGTATAATACCCAAAGCTTGAACCACTACCCAACGTCCTTGTCTGAATCGGTGGGTAAGTGATGGTTTTCCTGGAACCGCTGCCACCAGATCCACCGCTGGAGCCGCACTGGCCCCGTGGGCAGCATCTAGGGCTGCCGTTGATTAACCAACACTCATACCCGGCATTACAATGCCTGCCAGCCGTGCGACAGCATTCCTCGTTAGCATCAATACAGCCGTTATGACAGCATTTTCGTCCTGGTCTGCAAACAACGCCACCGCCGCAGCAACTCCAACTTAGCGAAGGGATGCAGGTACCATCAGAGACGCAGCAGTATTGTGAGCACCTTGCTGGACAGGCGCGTCTCATCAGTGATTGTAGATCTCCAGTCTCTGGAATAGACATGCTATCAATGGCGTCTCTTGTGCTCAGAAGAACACTGGGGGAGTCGGGGACCAATTGGCCAGCCTCTAGCGCAGAGGTTGAGGCGGAGAACGCGAGGAACGCGAGATTTATGAAGTTGGTCCATGAAGGCATGCTTGCGTTATGCGCTTATCAACTAAATGTCCTAAAAAAGAGTGGGATATCCTTGAGATGACGTTTTGAGAAAACTGAAGAAAGCCGATACAGAAGCAAAATGGGGTGGGAGCCCCCCATTTTAAAAGCGAGCTCGAGAACAAAACGGGAAATTTTGAAATTTCTTTCATTGCCAGAGAAGCCTAGCTTGGAGGCTAGTCAAGTTGCTCCCGCTTGAGAAATTTGGCGGATTAAAATGGAATACGAGAATTTGATGTCGATCTACGAAGACGGAAGCAAAAATTTGATAGCATCCAACCAATCAGCTGCCGGCGTGCATGGGCACATTGCCATGTTTTGTTTATAATGATACGACAGTAAACGTTACCCGACATAGAGACTCAAAATACGATGATTCAATGAAAAGAGCCGATATCGAACTTTCGGTTCTGGCGCGAGGTTAATGGGTCTGCCGATTGGCTTCCACAGAGTTGCAACTTGCAGGTAACTGTTACCCCGTAGTTGGGAGATACTCCTGTGTGCGGCAACAGAGCATTAAAGAATCATTTAAATTTCGTACGGAACGTCAAGGATAATGGGTTGCTTGGCGCGGCTCCGCTTTTGAGGCTCAGACCTCGCTTCGCGATGACTGGCGAAATTTATATTATCACTGGGTTCGCTGGCATGTTTATTTTAACGTCTCTTCTCCGCTTTCTAGACAGCCGTCGTATCCATATACAGTGTTTACTTGACCCCAACTGCGACCGCCCATGACAGCAACTACCCCGGAATTAAAGGATGCTCGAATGCATTCAGCAAAGCCGAATAATCAGATCAGGTGTGTACCATGAAAGACGGAAATCGTCTGCACGTTGCAAACACAATACCATGCTTCCATACAGTGAAGAACCCCGCGGCCTCGGAAAATGAAGACAACCAAGGAGTGTCCACTTGTCATTTCCTTCTTGCTGGTAGTTTCCCCCTCCTCTTATCCATTTTCGAGTGAACGTGTCTGTCAACGTTGGCGTTGTCAAATGGCGGACGTGAGCGATTCTCTCCAGAACTTAATGCTCCAGCACGCCAGGTTTGATACATTCCTCAAACACTACCTGAATCGAAATATCACCGCTGATATCCTTAGCATCTACCGTGGCCTCGAGCCGCAGAAAGGCATTGGTGAGGATGGTGTGCTCGATGAGCCGGTCCATCTACCCCCGCCGACCATGGAAGCTGACACCAGCCACCTATCTTGAAGATCTTCCCCAGAGAGTTAAACATCTGAAAAAGCGCTGTGACTTCGCTGCACGTTGGCTCCGGGGCCGGATGGGACAAAGTACCGGCGAAAGGCTAGGAGGGACGAGCAATGGAGAAAGAAATATCACAGCCGGCTTGAAAAGCACGAGAGGCAGGATAAAAGACATAACAAGGCCAGTCGCCGGCCCCCGCAGCGAGAAGCAACGTGCGAGAATCCAACTCAAGCGTGATATTCTGGAGCGATACCGACCGGAAGAGCCGGTAGTAGACAGTCAGCGGCAGGTCTCCGGAAAGGTGGTCGACAAGGACATGGAAAATGAACTGGTGCGGTCAGAGTACAAGACGCCCGAACAGATGATCGTGATTGACGCGGTCCTAACGCTGCCACCAAGGGTCCCAGAGGGGGAATTGCAAAGGCAGATCACCGCCATCCACGGCGTCAGTGTATATTATGGTGCTGGAGAGCATCCCCTCTGCCGTCGGCGTGGCCGTGGCTCCAGCCGCAAGCCCATCACTGTGAAACCGACGGCTGTCAAGGCGGAAGTGATGGGCCAACCATAATCTAACATTGTCCTCGAATCGGTCATTCAAGCAGTCCGAACGGAGCCGGGACCCAAAATATGCTCTATCTGTTTGCAGAACACCAAACTCATGCAGGCAGACCGTTTTTATTCGTTCCATGGACCAGGGAACTTGACTAAGCGTTTCCAAAGGCGGCATCGAAGAAGTTCAAGCTGATGGATTGCAATATCTGCGATGTGGGCTGAATACCCGAATCATCATATTCATAGAAACCTCCCGTGAGTGTCCCTTCGCAGACAGTCGCCAGAAGGTTTAATGAACAGCCGGGTGGTATCAAAAGATAGAAGAATAGATTCAATAATCTCTCATGTTTCAGAAGTCTCCCAAGCCAGAAACCTCTGCTGGCCGGCGAAGATGAAAAGAAGAGAAAGAGAATTTATATGATATTTTCAAGAAGCTGCCGGTACGCCAATTACTTTGAATTAGTATCTTGCGTCCGTAATCCACATGTGCCGACGTGAGATCAACTCCCTCTTGCCATCCTTCTCCATATTCCGCCCCGTAGATCTCTTCCATTTATTTTAGCACTTCATTGCTGCTATCCTTCCAGGAACCGTCGTCATTAAGAGCATCAAACGGAGCAATTTCTAGGTTGTGTCCAACCCAACCCAGACACCCTTACAGTGTGTTCCCCTTTGAGGGTCGCTGCAGCGCAGCACGTAAGGATCATTAGCTGAACAAAAGGTTCGAGAAACGATCCCGTCACCGAATCCAAGAGCGTCGATGAACGGGCCATGAACATACTCCGGATTTAGTGCGATTTTATGTGCGATAACAAACTCGCGAGTCGTTAACTTCCGTAGAACTCGGGGCCTATTGACGGATGTGTCAACGATGCCGATTAACTCTGTCGAGTGCATAACTACTAATGACATTCGGAAAGCTAAAGTTGAAGTCGCACTCTTGGGGGTTTGTCGAAGAGGCCCGTTTGACCAGAATCGTTCGTCGAGGTCTAGAGCGGACTGGGTGAATTGGCCCACGCAAACAATAGAGGTTCCGGCCCACCCTCCTGAGAACTCAGAAAAAAACTTTATTATGATGGGTTTGGCAATGTTCCAAAGGTGTCGACAAGCGAGGCCGAGACTAAAAACGCTCACGATGTCTAGGAAGCCAAAAATGAGACAATGGATATCAACTGGCAGAGAAAGATATGATACGGAAAGATTGTGCGAAATATGATCTGTTTTGTGCCTTGGCGATCGCACGTTTTAAGGAGGGTGCTGGGCATGGTTTATCATCGTTAACTGTCAACTATGAAACGGCTATTTCCTATAACTGGTCGAAGAAGAAGTTGTGCGAGAAGAAAATCAAGACAAGTGATGCGGCCACCACAGAGCAAGGTCAGGAAGCTCTTCTCGCTGACAGAAGTGTTTCAGACCCTTTTCCATCACAACATGCGACGAAAGAGAAAAAACTGGTTTCGTGAGTTACAGCAGAAATATTGAGGCTCGCCCGAAAAGAAAAAAAAAGCGGGACAGGTCCACATCTCGGTTCCATCGCGGATTGCCCTGCTGCGAAATCCGAAGACACGGTCATAGAAAAATTTTAAAGTGAACCTAGTCCACCAATGCACATATCTGCCGTCGCCGAAATGTGGTTTTGCAACAAAAAGCAGAATAACTGGAATACTGTGAATGCTGCTGGTTGTGATTTGTTGGAGTGAAGGTTGGTCGTTGGGGCACTCTACACAACGTGGTTTAATCTCCAGTTCGGATGAATGGTGGACGATCTATACACTAATCACGTGCGGTGGGGCGGCTGCCCGGGGAAACGTGTGCCCAACAATTATTTTGTGTTGGGGCTTGGCGTAGTTAACGTTTGCTCCCGGGCACGCGATCCCGTGCATAGAGATTAGCTCCCTAACGCCTCCCAGTGCAAGAGAATAAATCATCCCAGCACATATTTCACCACTTGCTGAGACACACCATATTTAGAGACGCTTTGTACCGACAACTACACAAGGCAGTCTCCCAGCAGTTTAAGCATCATTCAGCAGTCCATTGTTTGAGCGTTTTCCAATCGTTACGTGGGATTAGCCAAATCGGGAGCTTTTGTGGCTAACGTATATCTAGCCATCACACCACTGAATGAATCACTTACTCACGTGATATAGTCTAATTTAGTATGCAACCAATTAAAACAACGTAGCTTCAACCTTCGTACAGTTAATATTCAGCAAATGTTCAGGCGAATATGAGTGAAAATCAACTTATTTTGACTACTTTCGCTATGCAAAACCAAGGATTAAGCCAGTGAAGAGCTGCCAGACTGTATAATGTTCCTTATGCAAGTCTAAATCATCATTTCACTACAAAAGCACTGCCAATTTAAAATGACGAAAGCTAATGTTGTGTCTAGGGCTGGTAGCTTGTTGCAGTGAAACCAAGCTAGTCAATTAGGAGTTATCAAATAGAGTTTTATATCACGTGAGAAAAGTGATCCAGTAAGTGGTGTGATCCAGAAAGTGGTTGAAGAACGTTAGTTATTATCTCCACCACCGAACAGCGGACACCACCGAGCGGCGGATTCTCTCCGAAAATGATCAAATATTCAACTCGACTATCTTCAACACATCATTTCTTGGTGTTTTTAATTCAAAAAGCCTTTATCTCAAGAATCTCAGATTCAGTTGGCCATTGCTGCATATGAATCAAATCTATATATATATATATATATATATATATATATAAAATGAAAAGTTGCAAAGATGTATGAGATTTCTGAATCTATTCTGCACAAATGACTTGCTGGCATCAAATCATGCTTAGAAACACATGCAAATAATCATAAATTGACAAAGATAAATAATATAGATTCTACTTTAAATATAAATTCTTCATTTTATCATCACTCTCAGAATCAACTAATATTTAGATTTTCAACATTATTCTCATTTATATACAGCTATAATCATAGTATAGACCATCAATAGACAAAGTAGAAGAATTTAATGATTATAAAATAATTATTAAAAATGAGATATGAAGTTATTTAAAAATATAAAATTTGCAAAAATGTTATCTGAAACTTTGATAAGATTAACTTTATAATAAGATTTTATATAACTTTAAAATTATTATTATAGTTAAAAATAGTAAACATTTTATATAGCTAGTTATTTAGAAAATTGTAAATAAATCACAACTATTAAATTTATAAAATCAAACAAATGTTTTATTTTATTATAATAATTTAAAGGAAATGAAATATCAAATATTTTAATATTAAAATTAACTTTTTCTCAAGATTAAAGAATAACTATAAGTATTAATAATTAAATTATTGATATTAGATTTACATTAACTTAAAATCATATTTGAATTATAACTAAATATTATTTAATACATATAAAAAAATTATTTATTTTTAATAATTATCTGATTATAAAGTTTAATAATTTTTATAAAAATAATATAATTATCTATTTTTATATATTTGTTTGTGTATCTCATCTTCTTTTATTACTATATATTGATATTTTTTGAATTATTAAAATATCACATATAAAAAACTAATTAAAAAGATGATAATTGAAGAAAATAATTATATTGATAAAAGTGATTCTTTCATTTTTATTTATTTATATATGAAAAAAACTTTTTTAAAAAAAGAATCTGTAGTAACTTTATTAGAATAGAATTTAAATTATTAAATATAGAAAAAATTCAGTCAAAAATTATCATTTAACTACGTATAAAAATATCACAGTTATCACTTTTTAATTTATTAATGACTTAATATATTTAACATTTTAAATATGTTAAATTACTCATCAGCTTGATTATGTAATTATTACTTGCAGAGAAATTTTAATAAAAGAAATAATTATCTAATAGTTCAATATATCTTCAACATATTGAAAAGATTATGTAGATAACTATAAACATAAATCTTCTTCATCAGAAAATCAAGATTCAATGAGCAGAAAATAAATGAAAGATGAAGAAAAAGTTATAAAGACATACTAATCTAGATCAGAATACTGTTTTATTTATATAAAAAAATTATAAATATATTCAGCAGCTTAATATGCAGATTAAAGTTCAAATTGAAACTATATTTTATCAGTGAGCTTCATCACACATGAGATTATTGAAAGTATTATATACAGTTTGTCTCAATAAATAGCTATATATTTAACTATAGAATAGTTTTAATTTATTATTATTATCAATATTTAAGCGTATTGATTGTTATCAGATGAGTAGAGAATGGAATGTCATTGACTTAGTAATCTATAATTATTCTTGTTATTGTCCTGCAGTTCTTTGTAGATTTTTGCGGCTATTTATAATTACAAGTTGCCTCTTTTCTCACCCCATGTTCTTGTATGTCTTTCTACTGCTAATTTACTGGCCAGATCTCGTGATCGAGATCTTGCCACGAGATCTTGCCATTTACATACAAAACTCAATTTGTGGCATGTTTTAGAGCAACTAGTTCCGAAATTCGCAAAAATAAGGAATAAAAGGAGTGGGAGTTTTTAAATGGTTTTGGTGGATATTCTGTTAATCGCCCGAAATCCGATTCTCGTACGAAGGTGATCCACGTCTGACAGTTGTTGAATACATTGAATATTTGATGATTTTCGGAATCTGCCGCCAAGTGGTATCCACCGTTCGGGGGTGGATTACGTTAGTAGTCAATAGACCTTCTGAAGTCTTGCGGTAGACAACGCCATATGGTTTTTATATGGGTGACCATTTTTGCCGCCCGAAGCCACTCTGCTAACTCATCCAAATCTTTTTTTAGAATTGCTATCAATTGTCAAAGGGATTTTCACTTGAATCTTTTGATTCTGTAGCATCTTTATCAGTGGCCATGTTGATGATGGTTTAGGATGAGTAACTAATGAAAGAATGAAACAGTGCCCTCTCTACAAAAAAGAATACTGACTAATCAAAATCATGTTATCTAGTTAATATATTCGTGAAGACGCTATGCAGAATTATATAACCCATATTTGTAACAAGGTACAGATGAGTTTGCAGTTTGCGGCAATAGATAGCAACAAAAAAAAAAAAAAAAAAAAAAAAAAAAAAAAAAAAAAAAGAGAGAGAGAGAGAGAGAGAGAGAAGAAGAAGTCAGGGCATATTGGACAGTTAATGACGCACATATTACTATGCGTGATGCATGAGGGGTTGGTAGCCCCTCAAACACCAGGTCGGTGTTAAATTAGTTAACTAGTTATTCAGCTCGTGGTAGTTTTGTGCGATTCTATTCTGTATGTCTGAATCAATTTATATATTTAAATACGGTGTTAATAACTGTCTAGTTAATTCTGCTGGGTTCCAGTTGAACGTAGTTTAATGACAATAGAAATCACTTTCAATTGCCTTTTCAAAAAATTCGCAGACCCCATCCAGAAAAGTTTGAACAGGCCCTTTTAGAGTTCGCAAGGCGCTCAAATATCAGTATCGACAAGTAGTCTAGCGCTGTCCTCACATTTCTTGTCGCATACAATCGTTCTCATGAGTTGTCGGTTTCCGGAATCAATAAATTGAGAGCCGCTTCAAAGGTCTAGGAACTCGATGAACTGTCTCGGATGGAGATGCCAAACTTGTTGATCAAGTATATCAAACATAAGTTATGATGATATAGATACGTAAGTTTTAAAATCTATCTCAACAAACTTAAATCTTTAGATATTGGATGTTATTTAAAAAGAAATTTAAAGCTATATATAGATAAAAGATGTAAAATTAAAATTAACATATAAAAAAATGAAATACTTGAAATATAAGTCATAAAATTATTAAACTTGATTATAAATTATTGATAAAAAATAAAATATTATATTACATTAATTTAAATTAATTCTTATATATATAAATAATTCTATATTTAATGTTTAACTTAAAATATTTTTTTTAATATATTTTTATTTTTTGATTTATTTTAATTTTTTTCTTAATAATTAAAATCTGAAAAGATATAAAAATTTAATATTAAAATTTATTTACTTATAATAATAGTGATTAAAAATATAATTTTTTAATATTTAAAAAGTTATTAAACTATATAACAGAAAAAATCAATTATAAGTAGTATATACTCAATAAAGAATAAGTATAATTTTATAGAAATCATCTAAATCTTTAATAAAATTTATTAAGAAATAGCAAAAATATGATTTTACTTTATATTTATAATATCTTTAATATTTTTATACTTATATTATAATATATTTGACATTTAAAACTATTTCTTATATACTATTGCAAGTCA